CAAAGAGTATGGATTCCTGCAGTCACGAAAGCTTCAAATCAAGACCAAATAGATACCCTTTTCAAAGGAATCAAGTTTGCATTAACCACAAACAGTACTTGTGGTGAACATGCAAACAAACATGCTCTGACAATACATGCATAGTCCTTGAAAGTGTTCGTCTTTTGGCGTTCGCTGGTCTGACACTGGTGAGACTAGGACATGAAGAAAGCTTGTGTATTATATAGTTTTGCGTTGAGCTAGGGCCCATTTATGAAAGGGAAGCACTGGGCAGTTCACCTGAATTGGTTCAAGCAAGCCTGACTGCTGATGAAACACCGGATGTAAAAACTGGTCCAGAGTTTGCTTGTGTTGCACGAACACTCATGATAGATGATCCCAGAAGGCTGTACCTTCGACGGGTTGTGTATAAAATATATTTTTTATGTAGAGAAACGAATATCGGAAGGAGGCGTTATTTTGTTATAAACATTCCCCATAACTATGCTTAATGATTATTTTGTTATTCTTGGTTCTTTCGGTAAAGTCACGTAGAAGGGAAACAATAAAATAATAAAAATATGAAACAATAAAATTCTCACGACGTTTCGACTGCAACACAAGCAATCATAATCAGGTGTGAAAACCACAACAAGAAAATTTGAAAAAAATTTTATATACAAATTTTCTTGCTGTGGTTTTCACACCTGATGATGATTGATTGTGTTGCAGTCGAAACGTCGTGAGAATTTTATTGTTTTATATTTTATTATTTTATTGTTTCCCTTCTACGTGACTTTACCGAAAGAACCAAGAATATGAATCCCTGCAGTCACGAAAGCTTTAAATCAAGATTATTTTGTTATATACAGTATGCTTAAATGCATTATAATGGGATTTAACATCATATACCAGGCCACTTTTGCAAATAAGAATATCCTGGTCTCTTGAGTTCTCACTCGGTTAAACAAAATAAATTCGACTTACTGGGAGGGTTTTGCAGATAAGAGGATGACTGACAAGAGTTTTCACTTTAAAAGCACCACGTGCAAATTAATTAACATTTTTGAACTTTATATAAACGAAATAAAAAAAGGAAAAACAGAACACCAAATTGTGATAAATCTTAACGATAAATTTTATTTTTATCGGAATAAAAAAAGTTCACGACTGTTACTGACCATTCATTGTCACAGCGTAGAGAAATATTACTCTTAAATAACATGAATTGTGTCAATTTGCTATGCAGTATTGTATATCCCTATTTTAAAGACGGATTGCCAGAGTGGAAGAGTAGGCCAAAGGGACTTCCCCGAGGGCTCCCTTTGGTGGGAGGCCTTACGCCCGCAGTAGCATGAGCAAGCAATTACAGGTCTGTACCTTAACCAAAAGCTATCCAGATTTCTGATATAATATTTTAAAAAATAATTAAAATCTCTTGTAAAAGTGAATATTTTCACGTGCATTGTTTACGGCTATGGTACTGCTATTCCTCGTCACACAAGCCATTCTATTATTAAAATATAGTACAACATGAAAATAAATACTGCCGTACAGTACTAGTAAGCTCTCTCCCGTAGTATGCTCGTGGAATGTGGATATCTTATATAAGACACTGGGTTTCCAAATACAGCACAACATCGCATATCTGGCTCGTTGGGAGGGGGGGGCTGAGGTTTCGGGTGGATAAGTGAATAATATTGGTCGCGAAAGCCTACGTGGTAAACTGAGGTCGAATACATTGACGTTTGGAGAAAATCTGAATCAGGATTTTTATTTTGACTGGAAGAATCTGAAGAGCTGCGACGTTCCTTTTTACAGATGTCCAGTAGGGGTGGGAAATAACAGCTACGTCGAGTATAAATAGGTTACTGGACGAAAATGTGTAGCGGAAGCTGCTTTAAAGTTGGGAAAATCTTTGACTGTGCTTTACAGCGGTGTTTCTCAAACTTTGTTGGGCTGTGGACCAATCAGCCAATGCAAACATTTTCGCGGACCACCCAGCCCCACCACCCCTAGTGAGAACGCATTCACTTATCTCTCTAAATACCAACAATACAAAATGATTAATATTACCGGAACAACACTTTTTTAACGCAGATATCAGGGTTTTTTTTTATATATAGGGGTGGCATTTAGATCTTAGGGTTAGGGTAGTTGAATCAGGGTAGATTACGAAGCTTTATTTTTTTATATTAAATATCACGAGTAAAATATAAATCAATGTCCTAAACGAAAGGTATAATTGACGTTCTCATTAATGTCTGGATCAACCTGCATTCGCATCACAGCCCTGCAGACCACCTGAAGGACCTCCGCCGACCACCGGTGGAACCGGGAACCGCGCTTTGAGAACCACTGCTCTAGAAGTAAAGTGAAGGAACGTTAGGTCAACAACCCGTTTACCGCATCTGTGAAATGGCCGGACTTGTGAACGTCTTTAGAAAATTACAGTTACACAGTGCACAAATACCACAAGGGTGGCGGAAGTTAATTGGTTGGGCCTGATGTACGTACGTATGTTGAACTTCTTTCGCACCGTACGTAGCCAACCGTGCTAATCGGAGGGGCGGGATATGCGACGGTCAGATATGCGATGCTGTGCTGCAGCTTCTTTGCTTCGATAGGCACTGTTCGCTTGAGTGAGATGGGTCTAGAATCTATAGAACAAATTGAAAAAATATATATTTAGGAACCTCATTAGAAAAAATAGAATCCACTCAGTGCCAGTGGTGGAAATTAAACATTTCTATGGCAGGGGGGAGCTCTACATCTAGGGCAAGCCACTCTTTGACCACCCCACAAGGTTGTACTTATTTAATCCACTCTAGAGGGATGATGGGCTGGGTATTATTCTTGTCATTCAAAGAGAGGTAAATGCATTTGGGATATTGCAAATGAAAACAAGGATAAGTTGTTAATTTCATACAAGTGGGGTAAATCATGTTACTTCTAAACTGAAAACCCAGTGATAAATCAGTGGAACCTATGAACACATTTCCACTAAATATTGGTCGCACAGTTATTTTCAAAATAAACGAGACTAGAATAACTTTTGCGGAATTGCAAACACTGCAATTGTTTTTAATTCATAATTACACAGCCTTCTATCACTTCAAAAGTATACCTTTTCTGCACACAGTTTGCATATAATACATTTAACACAATGAGCAGCTTCAGAGTTTTATTACAGCATATTTAAAGTGTGCGCGAGAGTAAATGTTTGCATTATTTTTCAGTGAAGAGTAAGCCCTCGTATCAATGCACACATTATGTTGCATTGTTCGTACCCACAGTGGCATGTCAAGTTAAAGCTATGTTGTATATTAGTATCGACTTTTGAGGAGACGTGTAGCCAGTATGGAAGGGTGGGCCAAATGCCATCTCAAAGTGGAACTCTAGGAGTTGTGCCTTTAGTGGAGGCTCATCTGCCAGCAGTGCCATTGAACAATACGTTACAGTGCTGCACCTTTACCTATATAGTACACATATAAAGGATATCAGGCGCCTCAATAAGAAGGAAGGATTCCTCCCTATGATCTCCATAGCTTATAACTTACAAAGTGCAGGGTTGGGCTAGATGTCTTGTGACCCAGCCAATTAATTGTCCCCTAAACATTTTTTTCCTTTGCATATTTATTTCTGTTTTAAATAAAACCTTCCTTAAAAAAACGTTTTAGAGAATTAAATGGGGGGGGGGGGTCACAAGACATCTGGACCCAACATGTACAGTAATTACTGTTGGCCACACAGCCAGTGTAACAGGACCCTCCTGAAAACTATTCTTCAGACTTAGTGTGGCTTTCCTGGGTAAATGAGTCGTTATTATAATTCTAGTTATTTACACAAGGACGCTTGTCTGGACTGTGTGGTATGTTATTGTACATTTAGGGCCTCATTATCATGCTTGCATCTACGATCTCCGCAAATTGGATGTATATTTAAACAAATGCATTGCTATCTCATCTTTGTAACACTGGATTGAGGCCCAGTCATCAACACAATTGGAGACCCAATCCGTTAGTGCATTCTCCGGATTATGAGACGCACTCCCCCCCCCGCGTATTTTTAAGTAAAAGTTGGGGGTGTGCACTTTATAATTGTCTTCCGAGCGACCGCCATGCATGTGGTGGGGTAAAGTGTGGGTACTCCCACCTCTTCTAATACGTCTGGTCGATGTGGAAGAGTCGACCAAAATACCCTCCAGAGCAGCGTTTTGCGATGCAAGGCACGCGGGCCACTGGGCAGCCTCTGGTGGCCTTTAGCGCAGTCCTTGACGTGCGGCACCCCGACATTACACAAAAAGTTAAAACACCACCTCATCATCATCATCATCGTGCTGCTGTCAAACCCCCAATGGTTTCAAATGAGTGGCGGCCCTCACACTGATGATGTCTTATCGGCGAAAGCGACCCCCCCCCCCTTAAAATGTGTTAAGAACACTGATCTCGAGTCTGGAGGGTCTTTGTCTCGAGCTCCCTCAAGTGGAGGGCCCTTCCGCCAGCGAGCGGCGTGAGCAAGCCGTGCTTAACACATTAAACAAAACAGGTCATCTTTACAATCGGTTTGGCACTGTTCCACAACGGCTCAGCGTGGCAGCTAGATAGGGTTTGCCACGATCTGGCGATACTGCTATGATGCATCGTACGATATATGATACACGATCGTTGTATCGTTCCAATTTGCAGCAACAACAAAATCGTCAGATTGGATGATGTACTTTTTCTCGTATGTGTTTTTTCAAGATGTTATTCCTTGACACCATATTTCCCGAATAACAAAACTCGCTTGCAGTTATATTCTTGGTTCTTTCGGTAAAGTCACGTAGAAGGGAAACAATAAAATAATAAAATAATAAAACAATAAAATTCTCACGACATTTCGACTGCAACACAAGCAATCATCATCAGGTGTGAAAACCACAGCAAGAAAATTTGAAAAAAGTGGCGGGTTTTTTAACGTTAGCACCACGGAGAGCGATTTGACAGTTTGTTCAGATGGACGAGTCCATCTATGTTCGGAAAAGAGGGGGGAGACGAAAAATAATGGATGCGGTCTGAAAGCCACCGTAAGCGTGATCAATCAATTAAGACCCGAAATGGTTTATCAAATCCTTCCAATGATTGCAGTTGTAAATAAATAACTACGATCCATTCAATTATCACTTTGCAAGATGTTTTGTGGGAGTAATTGATGGCATGGTAATCACACGATGTAACCCTTTTCGTTGTTCACTTAATTACTTTTGTGTAACCGACAACAATTATTAGCAAGCCTCATGGCAATCTTTAGTTGAGTGAACTGCAGTTTAAAGACTTTGAAAGTCACATTTGTTCGTATTCTTAGTACACCAAATGATGGACCATTTTAAATTCAGTTAATTGTGAAACGTAATATTGCATCGTGAAAAAATAGATTGCAGCAAACCTTTAGCACAGTTTTAGATTTTCTATATCGCTATCAATTCGGGCTATGATCCCAATTCTTCAATGAATCCGTAAATCGGGTCTAGATACCGAATGTCCGGTGATTGGAAAAAAATATTTAGTACTGAATTGATCCAAAAGCATGACATCATGTCTGCGCTTGTCTCACCAAAAGTGGTGTCACATGGCCATTGTGTGACATCACTTTTGTCAGCACAAAAAACACGTGAAACTGTTGTGTAATGCAATCATTTAAATCCTAAAGAGATCCGATACTGTCATTAGAACAAAAATATGAAATGTTGAAATCCGAAACTCATCCCTAATATATCTCCACAGGTGAGAAATTCGAGACGAAAAAATGAGAAACCTACAAACGAATTTGGGAACCGTTTTTCACCAAAATAAAGGCGTCTTTTATGATCTGATTTGGCACCGTTCGACAGCAGCTTCCTGCGGCGGTGGCGATCGCCAGCACCGTGGCAAGGGAGCTGGGGGGGGGGGGTGGGGGGGTCGGCTCCGCCTGCCGAACGTGGTGGAACTCTTGCTGTCGGGAGAAACGTTGCAAAGCAGTGGCGGATTCGTGGCTCAAACTTTTGGTCAGGCGGTGCCGGCACCGCAGCAAGGTGGGGTGGGGCGGGGTAGGTGGCGAGCATGGCGCCTTGCCCCGAAAGCCACAACGGGCTACCGGCGCCGGCCATGGCGATCACTCGGCTGGAGTCGGTGACTCCGGTGCCCCTTCGATCGCACGGTGGTCTCCAGCTTGCGGTGGCCGGCACCGCAGTAAGGGGGTGGGGCGGGGTAGGTGGCGATGATTCACAACGGCTACCAGCGCCGGCTCTGACGATCGCTCGGCTGGAGTCGGCAGTCCCCGCGTGACTCCGGTGCACCCTTCGATCACATGATGGTCTCCAGCTTGATTCCCTTGGCAGCGGGGAGGTTGGGGAGCGTGGCCAACTCGCCCTCCAGTGACACTGCCCGCGTGGTCGCCCCGTCCGGAGACACGTGGTGCGCGCTCCACACTGGAGTGGTCAGGTGGTTCCATCGCTGTGGCGGTGAGTGGACGTGAGCGGACACGGGCGGTGAGGTGTGGCAAGGAGTAGAGGTGAGTGGTGGGGGGTAGAGGCGAGCGGTGCGGCACGGAGGTGAGTGACAGTGAGATCGGTGACAAAGAGGAGGGGGAAGGTCAGAGAACAACGGGAAACAGAAAAGAGTTAGGATTGATGACGTGTATGGCCAGGTGGTTCAGAGGTCACAGCACTGAGCTGACAATGTGATAATTTCAAGCATGGATTTATGCATGCTTCTCTGCACACTTTTCAGTTTTTGTTGAATTGTATTTTTTTTTGCTATTATTTGTACACAAGGCATTTTGTTCTGCTCTGTAACACACGCTAAAAACACACTAAATGCACGCTAAAAACACACTAAATACACGCTAACAACACACTAAATACACGCTAAAACACACTGATTACACACTAAATACATGCTAAAAACACACTAAATACACGCTAAAAACACACTAAATACACGCTAAAAACACACTGAATACACACTAAATACACGCTAAAAACACACTGAATACACACTAAATACACGCTAAATACACGCTAAAAACACACTAAGTACACGCTAAAAACACACTAAATACACACTAAAAACACACTAAATACACGCTTTAAACACACTAAATACACGCTAATAAACACACTAAATACACGCTAAAAACACACTAAATACACACTAAAGAAAGCAGTAAATACACGCTAAAACACACTAAATACACGCTAATAAACACACTAAATACACGCTAAAAACACACTAAATACACGCTAATAACACACTAAATACACGCTAAAAAACACTAAATACACGCTAAAAACACACTAAATACACGCTAAAACACACTAAATACACACTAAAAACACACTAAATACACGTTAAAAACACTAAATACACGCTAAAAAACACACTAAATACACGCTAAGAAACACACTAAATACACGCTAAACAACACACTAAATACACGATAAAAACACACTAAATACACGCTAAAAACACACTAAATACACGCTAAAAACACACTAAATACACACTAAATACACGCTAAAACACACTAAATACACGCTAAAAACACACTAAATACAAGCTAAAAACACACTAAATACACGCTAAAAACACACTAAATACACGCTAATGACACACTAAATACACGCTAAAAAACAAACTAAATACACGCTAAAAACATACTAAATACACGTTAAAACACACTAAATACACGCTAAAAACACACTAAATACAGGCTATAAACACACAAAATACACGCTAAAAACACACTAAATACACGCTAAAAAACACTAAATACACGCTAAAAACACAGTAAATACACGCTAAAAACACACTAAATACACGCAAAAAACACACTAAATACATGCTAAAAACACTCTAAATACACGGTAATAACACACTAAATAGCTAAGAAACACTAAATACACGCTAAAAAACACACTAAATACACGCTAAAACAGACTAAATACACGCTAAAAAACACACTAAACACACGCTAAAACACTAAATACACACTAAAAAACAAACTAAATACACACTAAGAAACACACTAAATACACGCTAAAAACACACTAAATACACGCTAAGAAACACACTAAATACACACTAAAACACACTAAAAACACACTAAATACACACTAAATACACGCTAAAAACACACTAAATACACGCTAAAAACACACTAAATACACGCTAAAAACAAACTAAATACACGCTAAAAACACACTAAATACACGCAAAAAACCACACTAAATACACGCAAAAAAACACTAAATACACGCTAAAAACACACTAAATACACGCTAAAAACACACTAAATACATGCTAAAAACACACTAAATACACGCTAAAAAAACACTAAATACACGCTAAAACACACTAAATACACGCTAAAAACACACTAAATACACGCTAAAACACTAAATACACGCTAAAAAACACACTAAATACACGCTTAAAACACACTAAATACACGCTAAAAACACACTAAATACACGCTAACAACACACTAAATACACGCTCAAAAACACTAAATACACGCTCAAAACACACTAAATACACGCTAAAAACACACTAAATACACGCTAAAAACACACTAAATACACGCTAAGAAACACACTAAATACACGCTAAAAACACACTAAATACACGCTAAAAACACACTTAATACACGTTAAAACACACTAAATACACGCTAAAAACATACTAAATACACGCTAAAACACACTAAATACACGCTAAAACATACTAAATACACGCTAAAAAAACACACTAAATACACGCTAAAACCACACTAAATACACGCAAAAAACACACTAAATACACGCTAAAACATACTAAATACACGCTAAAAACACACTAAATACACGCTAAAACATGCTAAATACACGCTAAAAACACACTAAATACACGCTAAAAACACTAAATACACGCTAAAACTTACTAAATACACGCTAAAACCACACTAAATACACGCTAAAACATACTAAATACACGCTAAAAAAACACTAAATACACGCTAAAAACACACTAAATACACTTCGATTTAAAGCTTTCGTGACTGCAATGATTCATCTTCTTTGGTTCTTTCGGTAAAGTCACGTAGAATGAGAATAAAATAATAAACTAAATACACGCTAAAACACACTAAATACACACTAAAAACACACTAAATACACGCTAAAACATACTAAATACACGCTAAAAAACACACTAAATACACGCTAAAACCACACTAAATACACGCTAAAACATACTAAATACACGCTAAAAAACACTAAATACATGCTAAAAACACACTAAATACACGCTAAAACATACTAAATAGACGCTAAAAACACACTAAATACACGCTAAAACTTACTAAATACACGCTAAAAACACACTAAATACACGCTAAAACACACTAAATACACGCTAAAACACACTAAATACACGCTAAAACATACTAAATACACGCTAAAAAAACACACTAAATACACGCTAAAACCACACTAAATACACGCTAAAACATACTAAATACACGCTAAAAAAACACACTAAATACACGCTAAAAACACACTAAATACACGCTAAAACATACTAAATACACGCTAAAAACACACTAAATACACGCTAAAACTTACTAAATACACGCTAAAAACACACTAAATACACGCTAAAACACACTAAATACACGCTAAAACACACTAAATACACGCTAAAAACACACTAAATACACGCTAAAACACACTAAATACACGCTAAAACACACTAAATACACGCAAAAAAACACTAAATACACGCTAAAAACACACTAAAAACACACTAAATACACACTAAATACACGCTAAAAACACACTAAATACACGCTAAAAACACACTAAATAAACGCTAAAAACACACTAAATACACGCAAAAAACCACACTAAATACACGCAAAAAAACACTAAATACACGCTAAAAACACACTAAATACACGCTAAAAACACACTAAATACATGCTAAAAACACACTAAATACACGCTAAAAAACACTAAATACACGCTAAAACACACTAAATACACGCTAAAACACACTAAATACACGCTAAAAACACACTAAATACACGCTAAAAACACACTAAATACACGCTAAGAAACACACTAAATACACGCTAAAAACACACTAAATACACGCTAAAAACACACTAAATACACGTTAAAAACACACTAAATACACGCTAAAAACACACTAAATACACGCTAAAACACACTAAATACAAGCTAAAAACACACTAAATACACGCTAAAACATACTAAATATACGCTAAAACACACTAAATACACGCTAAAAACACTAAATACACCCTAAAACACACTAAATACACCCTAAAACACTAAATACACGCTAAAAACACACTAAATACACGCTAAAAACACACTAAACACACGCTAAAAACACACTAAATACACGCTAAAAACACACTAAATACACGCTAAAAACACTAAATACACGCTAAAAAAACTAAATACACGCTAAAACACACTAAATACACGCTAAAAACACACTAAATACACGCTAAAACACACTAAATACACGCAAAAACACACTAAATACACGCTAAAACATACTAAATACACGCGAAAAACACACTTAATACACGCTAAAACATACTAAATACACGCTAAAAACACACTAATTACACGCTAAAACATACTAAATACACGCTAAAAAACACACTAAATACACGCTAAAAACACACTAAATACACGCTAAAACATACTAAATACACGCTAAAAACACACTAAATACAAGCTAAAACTTACTAAATACACGCTAAAACCACACTAAATACACGCTAAAACATACTAAATACACGCAAAAAAAACACACTAAATACACGCTAAAACACACTAAATACACGCTAAAACATACTAAATACACGCTAAAAACACACTAAATACACGCTAAAACTTACTAAATACACGCTAAAAACACACTAAATACACGCTAAAACACACTAAATACACGCTAAAACACACTAAATACACGCTAAAAACACACTAAATACACGCTAAAACACACTAAATACACGCTAAAACACACTAAATACACGCAAAAAAACACTAAATACACGCTAAAAACGCACTAAAAACACACTAAATACACACTAAATACACGCTAAAAACACACTAAATACACGCTAAAAACACACTAAATACACGCTAAAAACACACTAAATACACGCTAAAAACACACTAAATACATGCTAAAAACACACTAAATACACGCTAAAAAACACTAAATACACGCTAAAACACACTAAATACACGCTAAAACACACTAAATACACGCTAAAAACACACTAAATACACGCTAAAAACACACTAAATACACGCTAAGAAACACACTAAATACACGCTAAAAACACACTAAATACACGCTAAAAACACACTAAATACACGTTAAAAACACACTAAATACACGCTAAAAACACACTTAATACACGCTAAAACATACTAAATACACGCTAAAAACACACTAAATACACGCTAAAAACACACTAAATACACGCTAAAACACACTAAATACAAGCTAAAAACACACTAAATACACGCTAAAACATACTAAATATACGCTAAAACACACTAAATACACGCTAAAAACACTAAATACACCCTAAAACACACTAAATACACCCTAAAACACTAAATACACGCTAAAAACACACTAAATACACGCTAAAAACACACTAAACACACGCTAAAAACACACTAAATACACGCTAAAAACACACTAAATACACGCTAAAAACACACTAAATACACGCTAAAAACACTAAATACACGCTAAAACACACTAAATACACGCTAAAAACACACTAAATACACGCTAAAACACACTAAATACACGCAAAAACACACTAAATACACGCTAAAACATACTAAATACACGCGAAAAACACACTTAATACACGCTAAAACATACTAAATACACGCTAAAAACACACTAATTACACGCTAAAACATACTAAATACACGCTAAAAAACACACTAAATACACGCTAAAAACACACTAAATACACGCTAAAACATACTAAATACACGCTAAAAACACACTAAATACAAGCTAAAACTTACTAAATACACGCTAAAACCACACTAAATACACGCTAAAACATACTAAATACACGCAAAAAAAACACACTAAATACACGCTAAAAACACACTAAATACACGCTAAAACATACTAAATACACGCTAAAAACACACTAAATACACGCTAAAACTTACTAAATACACGCTAAAAACACACTAAATACACGCTAAAACACACTAAATACACGCTAAAACACACTAAATACACGCTAAAAACACACTAAATACACGCTAAAACACACTAAATACACGCTAAAACACACTAAATACACGCAAAAAAACACTAAATACACGCTAAAAACGCACTAAAAACACACTAAATACACACTAAATACACGCTAAAAACACACTAAATACACGCTAAAAACACACTAAATACACGCTAAAAACACACTAAATACACGCTAAAACACACTAAATACATGCTAAAAACACACTAAATACACGCTAAAAAACACTAAATACACGCTAAAACACACTAAATACACGCTAAAACACACTAAATACACGCTAAAAACACACTAAATACACGCTAAAACACACTAAATACACGCTAAAACACACTAAATACACGCTAAAAACACACTAAATACACGCTAAAAACACACTAAATACACGCTAAGAAACACACTAAATACACGCTAAAAACACACTAAATACACGCTAAAAACACACTAAATACACGTTAAAAACACACTAAATACACGCTAAAAACACACTTAATACACGCTAAAACATACTAAATACACGCTAAAAACACACTAAATACACGCTAAAAACACACTAAATACACGCTAAAACACACTAAATACAAGCTAAAAACACACTAAATACACGCTAAAACATACTAAATATACGCTAAAACACACTAAATACACGCTAAAAACACTAAATACACCCTAAAACACACTAAATACACCCTAAAACACTAAATACACGCTAAAAACACACTAAATACACGCTAAAAACACACTAAACACACGCTAAAAACACACTAAATACACGCTAAAAACACACTAAATACACGCTAAAAACACACTAAATACACGCTAAAAACACACTAAATACACGCTAAAACACACTAAATACACGCAAAAACACACTAAATACACGCTAAAACATACTAAATACACGCGAAAAACACACTTAATACACGCTAAAACATATTAAATACACGCTAAAAACACACTAAATACACGCTAAAACATACTAAATACACGCTAAAAAACACACTAAATACACGCTAAAAACACACTAAATACACGCTAAAACATACTAAATACACGCTAAAAACACACTAAATACAAGCTAAAACTTACTAAATACACGCTAAAACACACTAAATACACGCTAAAACATACTGTTATTTTATTTTATCAATTTATTATTTTATTCTCATTCTACGTGACTTTACCGAAAGAACCAAAGAAGACACTAAATACACGCTAAAACATACTAAATACACGCTAAAAACACACTAAATACACACTAAACACTGTCGGTTTGGAGGCCCAGGTCCGCTCTTCCAGATGAGACGTGTCCCGGTCTCTTGCGTTCTCACCTTGTTAAGCCAATTAAAACTCGCAATACACAACATGAAACAAATGCCTTGCTAACACAGTGTGCATTGTGGCTTTAGTAACCTGGGGTAGGGGACACGGACGGGGGGTGGGGGGGGGGGTGCACAGGAACCAGTGACCTTGATTGGGGCATCTGTGAAACAGCTTAATAGCTAAACAATTTGGTTCTTTCGGTAAAGTCACGTAGGTAGAAGAAAAAAATAATAGATCACGAGGATTTCGATCGCAACACAAGCAAACCGTCATCAGGTGTGAAACAGATACAGCAGGAGAGCTGCTGTCTCCGTGCCACGGGGAACAGGACTCACAACCCACTGTGAAGGTCGCTTGTGTTGCGATCGAAACGTCGTGATCTATTATTATTATTTTTTCCCACCCACGTGACTTCACCGAAAGAACCAAAGAGTTTGAATTCCTGCAGTCACTCAAGCTTCAAATCAAGATAAATAGCTCATCGGATTCCTGAAGTATAAATAAATATTCTAATTCCTAAAAATATATTTATTCTGATTCTAGAGGGGGGTTGGTAGGTGGTGGGGGCGCTGGCCACCATACCGAACATGAACTCACCTCCCGCAGTGAGCCCTCGGCATACGCCAGTCGGCAGAGCGCGACCGCGGGGATGCAGAGCATCGAGGTGAGCGCCATGGCCCAGCCGAGCGCGTCGCCCCACCACGGGTACACGTACGTCTTGTTGTACGTCAGCCGCTTGTAGTTCAGCAGGTTGAAGAGGAAGATGCCCTGCGGCGTGGGTAGAGGGGCGGGGACGGGGGATGGGAAGGAGGGAGGGGGGGTGTCGTCAAGGATTATAAACCATCACATGAACTGCGGTCAGCCTTGCAGCGGCAGCTTTTGGCTGGCATCGAACAAAAGGCGGTCAGTGCATCGCGCGCTTGCAGATGCGCTTCTGTGGCTATCGGAAAAACGCTCTTCCTTCCGATTATAGAAAGCCACTGGAACTATGCACTTTTAAATCTAGACTGAAAACTAATTTCTTTAGAACTGATTTTTTTGCGTCGAGTTTGGCGTCCTTCCCGAAGCGCCTCCGATTAGCATGGTTGGCTACGTACGGTGCGAAAGAAGTTCAACATACATGCATAAGTGCACCGCGTCTGGCGATAAAACATGCTAGTGGACCTCACTTCAGTTCTCAGGACAACAATCCAGTAAACACGGAACATTGGGCCAACGTTGGGTCAACGTTGGGCCAACGGTTCCAGCCATGTGACAACGTTGGCCTGACGTTGCCACGTTTACTGGGATTGCAGCTGATAACCTTCCCCATGGGCCAGGTTATGCTCACAATTAGAGCCTTAAAGTGGATTGAGATGAGGGTTACGATCATTCTTCCTGCAAGGCAATGTGCTCATAGAAACACAAACACAGCATCGCCAGCACTGAGAATTATATCACTTATGCCGTGGTAGCTATCACGACTGGTTTGACGTTTGATTTTTGTCAATTCCAGAGCCTAATATAACAAATAATCCATCAGGCACAGAGTCAGAAAAAAAAAGTTTAGTTTATAAAACTACACTTTTTATTTTCTTAGCTCTTTCGGTAAAGTCACGTTGAAGGGAAACAATAAAATAATAAATAAAATATATAAAATAACAAAATATAAAATAATAAATAAATAAAATAGATACAATTTATATTTTATTGTTTCCATTCAACGTGACTTTACCGAAAGAGCTAAGAATATGAATTACTGCAGTCACGAAAGCTTTAAATCAAAATTTAAACTTTTTATTTTACCAAGTAAGGCCCACAGAGCTATATGGCTCTTTTTCAGAAGCGACCTGGTCACAAATGATAGCTCAACGAAGTGGCTTATCATGTGGAAATTTATAGCAGCAAAATACTCTAAATGCTTGTTTCTAAATGTATAGGGAAAACCCGGAGGACCCGGAGAATATACACGCGGCCAGAGGGAGAGACATGCAAACTCCAAATATACAGGCATCACGGTCGAGTGTGAACCCATGACGACCTCCTGTATACCAGGCGAGGGAGTCAACACATTGGTGACTTGGTCAGTCACTTGTCAGTCACCATTAACAAGACCGCAACTTTTATCAGTGACAATCGTTACTCTGGTTTGCAAGTGCAGTGTGAAGCTTTTGCGTTTCAGCGTCCCATGCTGAATCTTTACGGGAAAAGTCCTGACACCCGCTGAGCGGCATCGAAGCAAGACTTAAGATCTAACTTTCCTTCGGTGTACCTGTGTGGACGACAGCTGACCGCGTGTTGCCCTGCCGTGTGCGTGCGGTGCTCACCACACAGATGCAGGGCGTCAAAAAACACCAACACCACTTCATCCAAGGCACCGGGTGGTACCCGATCATTCGGGCGATGTCATTCATGAAGCGGTCACTGCCTGGACAACGACACCCGGGCAAGCAGTGTCAGGGTGCGTGGCGGTGAAGTGAGGACAGAGGAACAGACAGATAGTCATTATCGATAAACGTAGAATTAACTTCCTGCACAAATGAGCATATATAAACTAACCACACGGAACATGCAAACAAAGCACGTTTGTTGCATGTTCGTTTGCATGCTCACCACAAGTACTGTGTGTGGTTAATGCAGACTTGATTCTTTGCAAAAGGTTTATATTTGGCGTTTGAACATCTTAACACCTGCTGGTTTATTGGCAGAAAGGATAAAACCTATTCTTATTTTCTGAGTCTCTCTTTACGACAAACCGCGGTTGACTTCTCCACAAGCAGGCAGTCTTTTTAATCGACCCCAGAGGGAACAAGGTTGGTCACTTGCATCGCACGGCGCTTTCAGATGCGCCTCCGTGGCCGTCTGGAACGCTCTTCCTCCCGATATTAGGCAGCCATTGTTTATTTATTTACATTTATTTACAACTCCTCTTTGTGTTTAGTTCGTTGTCCTTTCCCCCGCACCTCCGATAGGCACGGTTGGCCACGCACGGTGCAAACAAAGTTCAAAATACGTACACGCATAATGGGGTCAGTGCAATGGGCATCACAACCGTTCTCCAAGGATCTGAACTCGTAAAAGCTTCCCATTGCGTGGCCTCCTGCTCTACCGCTGAGCCACGCGCGATCGTTGTTCACAGCGCAAAGGTGGCGACAAACAACATCCAGGGGACAGCAGCTGCAGTGGCCGCCGGTGGGTAAAATATATCGCTCAGCGGGACAGGGAGGAGGCGTTCCACAATGCGTTGAAACGTGGACGCCGATTGGCGCAACGGACCTGCGTCTCCCACGGATGGCTGATGATGATGATATGGAAACCCGAGGGAGGGAGGGGGGAAGTGGAGCAAGCAGAGGGAGGGGGTATGTGCAGTTTATATTTACAGCGATCCCCAACCTTTTTGGCACCAGGGACCGGTTTCGTGGAAGACAATTTTTTCACGGACCGGGAGGGGGTTCATCATTGGGTATTTCCCCCTTTTCAAAGAAGCTCTCCAGCGACGTTTGTTTTTTACTCATTGTGGCTACTAGGGGTTAGCTTGTGGGCTTACTCATTGTGGCTACTAGGGGTTAGCTTGTGGGCTTACTCATTGTGGCTACTAGGGGTCAGCCTGTGGGCTTACTCATTGTGGCTACTAGGGGTCAGCCTGTGGGCTTACTCATTGTGGCTACTAGGGGTCAGCCTGTGTGGCTTACTCATTGTGGCTACTAGGGGTTAGCTTGTGGGCTTACTCATTGTGGCTACTAGGGGTTAGCTTGTGGGCTTACTCATTGTGGCTACTAGGGGTTAGCTTGTGGGCTTACTCATTGTGGCTACTAGGGGTTAGCCTGTGGGCTTACTCATTGTGGCTACTAGCGATCAGCTTGTGGGCTTACCAACACTGTGACTGTGACAAGCGCGCAGTGCGGGAAAGAGGCGCGGACTGAAGTGGTAAATAATAAAATAATTGGCGGGTTCCATGTGCGGACTCACCGCTCTCATCTCCTGCTGTGCGGCCCGGTTCCTAACAGGCCACGGACCGGACCGGTACCAGGCCACGGACCGGACCGGTACCAGTCCGGTCCGTGGCCCGGGGGTTGGGGACCCCTGGTTTATAAGCTACATTGTAAGCAAGTAAGTATTAACCCCCTTCTAATCTTCGCACCTGATAGGCAACACAGTGATGACATCATCTTACTCTATTTAAGACCAGAAACGGGAAGACTTCTTCACAATTATTTGCAAATCGCCTCCTGAAGCAGGTTGTAATCACCAGCGAAACGTTGTACTCAAATTGCAAATGATGTGGGTTTATATACTCTTTGGTTCCGTCGGTAAAGTCACGTAGGTATAAAATAAAATAAATCACGACGTTTCGGGCGCAACACAAGCGTCCTACGTCACTTTACCGAAACAACCAAAGAGTATGGATTCATGCAGTCACGAAAGCTTCAAATCAAGATGTGGGTTTACTCTCCAACACACCGGTGTGCTGAAGTAGTAACCAATTGGAACGTTTAGTTTACGTGACGGGGTGGTGGTGGGTTAACGATACATTTATATTTACTTGATCTAACCCAAAACACCGTTATTATGAATTATTATGAGGTTAAGTATTGTGAAGGTTTTTTTAGGGATTTTTCCCCTCCCCACGATTGGGGCCTGGCACTGCCCACCAATCGTGACGAGCCACCACTCTCTCTCTCTCTGCCTTCTCGAAGTTCCAAGGAGGCAATGTTCTCTATTCTATCTGAATGCAAGACATAGGTAAGGGGCCGTCCATAAATGACGTCACGCACCTAGGGGGCGGGGGGGGGTCAGACATTTGTGACGATGTGTGACGAGGAGGGGGGGATTTGAGAAACGTGACGTCACATCAAAATGCGCAACTTTAATTAAATATAGACAACACGTTCTACTTAATTAAATAGACTTTTTAATAAATGTTTTCTCCTACAACATCAGAGTGCAGCGCCACATTAAATACGCACTACAATGACAATAGTTTAAAGCGATTTGAAGCATGTTTTATTTTTTATTTTGGGGGGGGGGGGGGGGCAGGGGCAGAGCTTTGTGACGTCATATTTGAGGGGGGGTCTGACTTTTTGTGACGCCATGTGACGAAGGGGGGGGGGGCAAAAATCGTACAAAATCACGTGACGTCATTTATGCACGGCCCCTAAAGATGCAGCCCATAAATAGCTCGCTAACGTGACTACCGGTGGAAGGATCTCCACTATGGGGAATTCTATAGAGAGCCCCTCCATTGGTTAATTTGGCCACCCCTTCCACGTAGTCGTACCCTGCACACGATCGACTGCGGTGTACCAAACGGGGTTTGCCTGCTGGACAGCGGCGTCGCGAGTGCTTACCATAGACCCATGCCACCACAATGCACTCCCAGCCAGCCTGCCACAGCAGGGTCATCCCACTGGCCGAGTAGTAGTCGAACAGCTGAAACACGTACATCCCTCCCTGCCGCACACACGGGGAGGGTCCTGGTGAAGGTGGCGATGATCTGCAGCCAGTGCTTAATCTCAGCCGGAATGACCCACAATGCTGTTGCGGGAATTACTTTGACACAACCTTCATTTGTTCTAAACCTGTTCACAGGATTGTGGGAATATAGGTTACAATAATAATGGATTGTTGTGGAGAGGCGCACCTTGTACTCTAGTGGTAGTGCCTTACACCGATGCTACTTACTCCAAGCCAACGCAGTGAGCGGTGTTCCGGATAATATCGAGTGAGAAAGTAAATCCTGGCTGTGGAGCAGTTGAGGTTCCTCGGTTGACTGGGACAGTCTTGGTGTCCAGCCTAAAAACTTTTGTGAAGTTGAAGATTTTGGTTCAACAAAACATTTTCTGGCCTCAATCAAGCTCAACTCATGATTTTGGCGAAGGGCGGAGATATCTGAGTAGTGGGTGGGGCTATATAGGTATTGGGAGGAGTTACCTGGGTAGTGGGCGGAGCTACTTTGGTAGTGGGCGGAATTACGGACGGAGCTCCCTTGAGTGGTGGGCGGAGCTACTTTAGTAGTGGGCGGAGCTACCTAAATGATGGGCGGGGCTACCTGGGTAGTGGGCGGGGCTGCCTGAGTGGTGGGCGGGGTTGTTAGAGTAAGCGGGGTTAATTGAGTGGCGGGGGGGGGGGGGTTCTGAAGGAACGGAGGTCACTCGCTGTGAGCGCAGAAAGAGTGAAGTCACTCACGAATGGAGTTGTTCGCCAAACATCCCTACTTAGTGCATTGTCTTTGAGCTTGAACGCCTTTTGGCGTCATCTGGTCTAGCACCAATTTAGACCAGGCTCTAAAGAAAGCTGTCTCTGGTGTGGACCAATCAGTTTCAAGGACAATGCATTTATTTTGATTTAAAGCTTTCGTGACTGCAGGGATTCATATTCTTGGTTCTTTCGGTAAAGTCACGTAGAAGGGAAACAATAAAATAATAAAAATCTAAAACAATACAATTCTCACGTGACTTTACCGAAAGAACCAATAATATTATGCATATATTATCAGTGTGTTTTTTTGTTTGAATTTTGACTGCAAGTATTGTGGTTAATGCAGACATGAATCCTTGTTAAAAAAAAGGTTTCAGTTTTGTAGCCAGCAAAAAGGGGAAAACCCCTTATTATTATATCCCTACTTAGTTGGCCAAAGAGCTTTTGGGGAAAGCGTCCGTGTCGGTTCTGGCTGCCTTATCGCTTAATCTGAGCGAAAACTGTGCACCGTTTACAAGTTTTTATTTTTAAAGTTTTAACTTTCAGCCTCTCAGAAACGGACATCTGTGAAAAAGAGCTTAGTATAAAATAAATATTCCGACAAACGTAGAAACGTGGTCGCTTGTGCACTCACACTTGCTATGAGCGCTCCAAACAGCTGGGGGTGCTGGTGTACCTCCTCGAGTTCGGATTGAGGTCCGTACGGCAGGCTAGCTGGCGGTGTTGCCGGCACGATGCCCAGCCAACTTTGTTCTTAACCCCCAGTGCTTATATTTGCTTGTGTAAGGCCCATGACCTTGCGCACGTGCACACAACCGGCAAATAATACAAAATGGTCGAGGCAATTAAATATAGGGTGTTTCAAAAAAATGGGCCCGATTTGGAATTCGCTATATCTCTGCAACCACGAACCGCCCGTGAATGAAACTCTTACCACTTGAAAGGGCGGGCCAGGGAGTTTCAAATGATTACCGCGAGATGCCTCTCCCAGCGCACAAACAGCCCCTAGCCTCAGTCATTCGCAAGACACACTGCCTCAGCGTTATTTCTGGAACACTATTTTTTTCCCAGGGGTGTTACTTAACTCCGCGACCGGGATAACCAATCAATCCGAAATCAGTGCCACACTCCGCGATGTCGAAACGCCAAACATTAGCATGAAAAAAAACCCGTTATCGAAAAATTCAACTTTGAAGAGTGCATCGTGTACTTGCTCGTCGAGGTGAGTCGATTGCCGCATCGCCGACCATCAACAGTCTCAAAATGACTGCATCACGGACATTATGCGAGAACCCGGGGTACTATGGTACCCTGGGGTATCGCCATAAGGTTAATATGTACGTGTAGAGGACTACTGATTATTTAACATAATGTGCGGGGAGTGGTGGGGGGGGGGATGTAATCAAGGATAAGTTGCGAATTCACTTGTGTGTGAGATTGGGTTTGCCCTGTTAGCCACAAAAGACTACCCTTTATCCTTCACACTGAAGATATATGAGGTCAATTTAGCAGCAAACTAATTTGTAAAGAAGAATTCGTAATATAAAATGTTTCTCTATTACACCGTAACAGAGTTTGGACAAAGCCGAACAACAAAGTGTTGTATTTCACCAGGTGAGCACCAATGATGTGTAATAGCGAGAACAGTTAAAATAATTTGTTTAAATTAGGGAATTTAATTTATTTGGATTTTGGTTATAGTACAACTTAAGGCCAAATCACCCATGATGTACCCACCACCATCAGACCTCAGAAACTAAGCAAGACTGAGGTTGGATATTGCTTAGATGGGCAACCACCAAGCACATAAAACGGGTATTGTGGGCAGTTAGGAGGGCAGTACAGCAGAATCAATTGTTGTTCTGGACTGCCCTCACCTTTACCAACCTGCAATCACCAGCGTGGTGAAGTATGGTGAAATAGTACACTCTCTGCACGGCATGGGGAGGGATGTCTTCACTCGTCCAGCAGTGGATTGACAAATGGGCTGTACGGGTACATGGATGCCTACTCTTGAGAAAGGTTTTCACGCGATCTTTAATTTTTTATCTTTCGTGTCCGCTTTTGGTAATCCCCGTAAATGGCACCGGATGGCTGTGACTTGGTGAGTACTGGCGGTGGTGTTAGCGGTTGGCGCTACGCTGCACTACGAACCTGGCAACCCGAGTTCGATTCCCGCTCACGGCCAACACCAGTGACGATTATCTGAACCGGTCCTGGGCCTCCCCTAGGTCGACTCGGCCTCAAAGGAGTACCTGATGCAATGAGTAAACATCACCACTGGGGAGACAAAGGCGGTCAGGCGTGGTGCTGACCACCCACCCCCTCGTGTGCCGTTCCGGCCTTCATAGACGCTCGCTAACAGCACTTGCCCCTACAGTCTGGTAAGGCTATACGCTGGACCTTTGTCTTTGTCTGGCTGAACAGCCGACAATACTAGCTGAGCCAAGTAGTGTCACCTGACAGCGTAAGCCTTACATCGGTGATCATGGAAAAGGCGAAAAGGAAGGAGATCATGCTGTAGATGGCCACAAATATCTCTCGGCAGTAGCCATTACTTAGCCGGGCTGGGAACAGGTCCGAAATTCCCGTCACGAAGCCCTCCACTCCCACAAACTGCAAACACAACAGCCACACACGAGACACGGCAGTTAGCATCGCGGTCAAAGTCAAGTGAGGATCGTCGTCAACGTGATTTTGCTGCTCGAATGAGCATCGAGGCGGTGCTTATCTCCCATTTGAGCTAGTTGGTGGAATTTGCACATTCATATGTCAGGGGGCGAGTCTACCCATAGGAAGAAAAAAAATCACCGTTAACTTTCCCACAAATTGGAAATATTTTATCGACCCCCCCCCCCCCCCGAAGGCATGATGGGCAGAGTCAACGCCCAAACAGCATTTGAACTCGCAACCTTCCGATTAACTGCTGAGCCACCTGGCTGGTTGTATTGGCTGTTGGTGGTGATGCATCGTCACGAGCTGGTGCTTAATTTGTCCTTCCCCCACCGCACCTCCGATTAGCATGGTTGGCCACGTGCAGCGCGAAAGAAGTTCAACGCACGTGCAGTACATACCGTGGAAGAGTAGGCCAAAATACCCTTCTAGGAGGGGCTCTCTAAGAGTTCCCTCGAAGTGGAGGCCCTATCCGCCAGCAGTGCAGTGAGCGGGTTATTTTAGGACAGCACCTTTGACGATATTACGTTAAGGATGGATAAATAACCGCAGCAATACTGCAGGCGGGCACGTCCGGGAGGGTGTGGTGATGTCACCGCCACTGAGTGCTGAACGGGAGGTTGTTATTGTCGGTGATGCAAGCTGTAAATCCAGCGCGGTCATTTAAAAAAAGGACTGACTAAACATTCAGTGCCTATTAAAAGGATTAAAAAATGCGCCGAAGGTTATGGGCACGCTCCCTGCTTCTCCACTAAACTTGGGTGTTCCTCTTCCTTGACAGGCAACCCATCATAGCTATCGGTGCTTTTACACACACAGACATAATTTCCAACGCTTCATTGTATTAATTGTTCTGACGGTGCTGAGTGAGTCTACGCCTGGCGATTTTAAAAAATTCCATCAGGTTCTATAAAATAAAAATCTCACATGGAGTCTTGAGACTCAGTGAGGCTTTACCGAATACATAAACGGCATCTATGTATCATTATTGACAAACAAGATAGAACTAAACTAAACCATTTTGATTTAACCAGGTAAGGCCCACTGAGCGATATAGCGCTTTTTTAGAAGCGACCTGGCCACAATTGATAGCTCAACGAAGCGGCTTATCACGTGGAAATTTATAACAACCAAATCCTCTGAGCGCATGTTGAATCTAAACGTGCAGGGAAATACCGGAGGACCCAGAGATAAATCCACGCGACCATGGGGGAGAGAGACAATGCAAACGCTAAATATACAACAGGTGTCAGTGTCGGGATCGATCCCACGACCTCCTGCATACCAGGCGAGGCAATTAACATCTCCTAGCCACTGTGGCGCCCCAACCCACTCACCTGACTGTCAAGTCCAAGCAAGAGCAACATGAAGAAAAACAGGGCAGCCCACACTGGAGCGACAGGCATCAGGGACACGGCCTTGGGGTATGCAATGAAAGCCAGCCCAGGACCTGGTGTCCGTACAGAAAGCAAACATTGAGGTTAGCGGGAGTTCAACACGAACAATTAATATATCCTCAGTGTACAAACAGAAAGGCCAGTGGAAGAAGCACCGAGACCCAATGTACCCTTCTAAAATGACTAGAACACCCATAATAATCACAGCAGAGCAACCAGTAACCTATTGCGTTTCATCTCCATTTACTTAGAACAGTATGGCCTGACCTGTGAATAGACTCGTGCGTTCGTATTCGAGTGAGGAATGGACAACTGCGGAGGCACCCTTCGATTTTGACTCGATGTGTGATTTGAATCCTGCAGGGCGCCCGGGTATTACTGCGGGTGTATTAACCATGAAGTACTTTGTCCCATCTGCCTGCTTCCCAGTGGACGTTCAAGATCCCCCGACGTTGAACAAAATGAGTAGGTCATTGCGTGCAGCACCATGGTCCACATTTTGCCAAGTTAAGAAGAAATTACTCACAAATCACTCAGTCGGGATTGCATTTCAGAATCATCGCCTGCTCCTGGCACACTAATGCCATTCATAATGAAGGTTTTTGGGTTAATGCCAGAGTCAATTTGTGCCCACGGGGATAGCTACCTCGGGGAAGTGCCCTTTCAAACATGTGAGATGGAATGTGACGTCAGTCGCTTCCCGAATGTGAAGCGCTCTGATACGCCCCAGGGTCAACGGGTCTCTATGACAAACAAATTATTATTATAGTCGTATCATCGTTTATCACAATTAAAGCTGATTGGGATGCAAATAAGACACTCAGGGGTGACTGACAGAAAGTACGAAGTGATTTGGGAAAACAGCACTTGAATATGAAAAGCAGCACAGCAGTGGCACGGGAAGAAGAAAACATTCAATCAACAGCAGACAATACACGTGGATCAGGAACGTCGGCAACGAAAGGGAAAATGAAACGACGTTTGAAAAGTGCGCAAGGATGCATCGAGAGATGAGTCAAGGAGAAGGGAATCGCAAGGAATAGGTTACAAACGCGAACTTCTATTCATTTAATAAATAGAAGTGGGTGGGCTTGTGTGGGACACATCGCTGGAATTGATGATGGCATTTCTGATAACGACTGTGACGGAATGGCAGTCCAAGGAGAAAACGAACCCCAGAGGGATGACTACCACGAGGACGGGGCGCGGTAAGATCGGTCTATGCGCAGGGGTGAGATGGATTGTGTCATCGCAGGGCCGTGAGGTGGGGTAGGGAGGCCTTAATGCAGCACTGTTAAACCAGCGCCTCCGATTAGCACGGTTGGCTACGTACGGTGCGAAAGAAGGTTCAACATACACACATACATACGGGTAGTTACATACAGTAAAGTATTCCACGTGGGGCTCGCTGGGAACCGAGCTATGGACAGATGTGTGAACAGGTCGGATACGTGAACATCGGTGGAAAAGTGACCGCTACACCATCAGGCGTGGTGGTGGGGGGGGGCCAGTCGATCTGTCCCGGAGGATATTTGACAGTCGGATATTGCGACGTCGCACCACAACTACGCGCGTGTGACGTCCAAGGGCCGCTAGACGTGGCGTGCCATTCTTTACCCACGCGGCCCCCCCCCCCCCCACCCCGAACCCCGAACCCTTCCGTGGTGTCCCTCACCTGATTCCGCCACCTTGGATATGTCGACCCCTTGCTCGGCGGCCATGAAGCCCAGGATGGAGAAGACGACGAAGCCGGCGAAAAAACTCGTGCCGCTGTTCACCACCGCCAGGATGTACACGTCTCTGCGCGAGAGGGAGGCCACACAAACAGCAGAGGGGCGACAGCGCGAGCGCTCGTGTGCCATCGTCGCATCCGTCACCGCCACCGCTCGCCGGGCGGCGGTTGGCTACACCGCCGATGCTCGTGGATGCCTGCAGTCCAGCACTGTGGAGGCAGCAGCGAGCGGCTGGTTGGTGGATCGCCCCACAGATATCGGTAAAAATTCCATTCCCGTGGGGGCATCGAGGAGGGGTCATGACCCCCCCCGGATTGCCACGAGAAGGCGGAACAGCAAAACAAATGTGCACTCCAGCTGTTCCGTCTGTATGGGGCAGAGTGTTTCCCCATAGCACACGTGCAATTTCTCAGGGTTCATCTTCTTTGGTTCTTTCGGTAAAGTCACGTAGAATGAGAATAAAATAATAAATTGATAAAATAAAATAACACAATAATATTCTCACGACGTTTCGGCCACAACACAAGCGGCCTTCATCAGGTGAAGGGACGAGACTGTCTGGTAGGACGAGACTGTGTTATTTTATTTTATCAATTTATTATTTTATTCTCATTCTACATGACTTTACCGAAAGAACCAAAGAAGATGAATCATTGCAGTCACGAAAGCTTTAAATCGAAATTTCTCAGGGTTCTCTGGTTTTCTTCCTACATGTAAGCACTCATTAATTGGCCTTGAACATCTGAATATTTAGAGGACTGCAGAGCTTGGCAAATCGTTAGCACCGGCTCAACCGCGCGGCTGCCCTCCTGCTTATCCGTGGTTCCTCGCACCTTTGAGTGGTTCTGTGTCTTCGAGAGTGAGTGAATACTGTGATGTCACCATCTCAATAACCCGACACTGTTCAACAACCACACTGCAGGTCATAACACTTTCTCTAATTTCTGCGTCTTCCCTCACACTGCTCCACTTTGGAATTCCTCCCCGTCATCTATTTCCCTCACTTTCTGATAACCTTTCTCAATTCAAGAACTGTGAACTCTCATCTATTACTACTTTAATAGTGCTGGTTGTTGCTGGCTGCCTGGCATTTGGGGGCTTTGTGCCGGTGCTCAGCAACTGTGATAAATACACTTTAAGGAGAATTGATTTACCAAAAACACGTTCTTACAGCCTTTCTGAATTCAAGGAGAGATTAACCGTCATCTGCCGCAACTTTAATCGTGTTATTCGTTGCTGGTGCTGTTACGAATCGCTGCTTAGCGCCTGTGCTGAGCTACTGTGGATAAACAACAAAAAATTGATACAGAAAGCTGGAACTTCTTGCACCATGAACTGATATCATTGCTTCGTTTCCACAGTTGTTGTCCGATTGGGCTTCTTCTGTCCTTTGGGACATTCTGTCGCCAGTCTCATGCTACAATCACCACCCCGACTATGCACGTCATGTGCTGCCAAGTTGAGATTACCTATACTTATCTCGACAGACAGCTGGATCCAACGACCGATTTGAATCGCTGATACCTCGGCTTCTTGGAACGAATGCATCGATGCTAAATTTATCCGAAGTGGCCTCCAGATTAAATTTAATGTCTCAATTTTTAGTAGGCCACACGCAAATTTAATAATTATAAACACGTTAAGTACGCAAAATAAAGGCAGCTTTCTCTTGTTTGCTTTGATTTAATTGTGTTTGAATTGTTTAGTATACACTACTGATTTATTCCTTCTTCAATGTATTGTTACATTTTTACACATATTTATTGACATGTTGTTTTTTCACCACTGTTCCCTAAAAGTTATTCCATACCGTGTTTTTTATGTGTTTAAACACCAGGTCTTTTTTGTTAAGAGGATTATTGTCTCAGTAGACTCTCACTCAGTTTGGCAAAAAGTTTATATATTGATTGATCTGGCACTACCGCTATCTGTAGAGAGCTTCCAGAATGTTTGCTTCTTTGCCTTAAACAAAAAATATACGCCAATTGCGCATGTAACATGGACACGTTCAGCCCTTCTGTCAATCCACTGCTGGATGAGGGCCTCCCCATGGAGTGTATGTCCAACTGGACATCTGTGAAAAAGAGCTTTATAGCTCATCGGATTCCTCCAGTATTTTGATTTCACCATACTTCACCACGCTGGTCAGTGCGCGTGTTTGTCAGGTGAGTACAGAGCAACAATTGGTTATTCTGTGCTGTTCTCGACTGCCCACAGCCACCTGTTTTATATGCTCGGACGTTGGCTTATTTGGCAAAGTGTCTCGATCTGCCTCTGGTGACCGAATTCCAGATTCAAGCCCCCTAGATCTCAGCGGTATCAGCTCAATGCCCTGACTTAGCCTCCTGTGCGAGTTGGCCACAAGTTGTTTCTTAGCAGCACATCCTGACCCTAATGAGGCTGATAGAATTTCAGTACCGTGACCTGGTGTGTGTCTACACTACTCTCAGCGAACGGTAGCTAAAAATAACCCGTAATTATCATCCCAGGAGCGCCAACGTAGGCTGATCGTCGTCAAAGAGAGTCGAAGTGATTTCCTGCTCAAATGAGCATTTGAGGCATTGGTGCTCATCTCCTGCTTACAGCCCTGAGCCAGTGGTGGAACTTCCGCGTTCCTATGGCAGGGGCGATTTTATCCACATGTATATTGAACATACGACAACCCGATGTTGACGTCCCCACAAAGCAGAACTTATTTTATTCACTCCAGAGGGATGATGGGTTGAGTCAAACCCACAACCAGAATTTAAACTCGCAACATTCCGATTGTGCGAGCCGCTAGCTCTATCACTGAACCACCTGGCTGATCGTAGTGCCGTAGTTATTAATCTAATTGTGTTACAAAGGCAGGTTCTTGGAGCATCATCATCATCAGCCATTGTTTATCTTCCCGTGCCATCAATCGATCATGGGCGTTTTGTTTGACTATACTTCACCACACTCATCAGCGCTGGTTGTATTGCATGTATGTTGGGGCGCCATGGTGGCTAGGAGATGTTTACTACCTCGCTTGGTACACAGGAGGTCGTGGGTTCGATCCCGACCCTGACGCCTGCTGCTGTATATTTGGAGCTTTCTCCAGGCCCTCCGTTGTTTTTTTTCCTCCACATTTAGAATCAACAACGTGAGTTTAGAGTATTTGGCTGCGATAAATTTCCAACGTGACAGGCCACTTCGTTGAGCTATCATTTGTGGCCAGGGCGCTTCAGGTGAAGAGCTACATAGCTCAGTGAGCCTTACCTGGTGAAATAAAAATGGTTTGTTAAGAGTTAATAGTTAATATTGAACTTCCATCGCACCGTACGTAGCCAACCGTGCTAATCGAAGGTGTGGGGGGCGGGGGGGGGGCGCAAGCAGGTTCAGGGATGAAGGAAGGACGCTTCGTCTCGCGTCTCGATGAGCGCTCAATCGCCGTGGGGAGCCCCTATCCAGTAGAGCAGTGGTTCTCGACCTTACTCTTTGGTTCTTTCGGTAAAGTCACGTAGGTATAAAATAAAATAAATCACGACGTTTCGATTGCAACACAAGCAATCGTGACTTTACCGAAAGAACCAAAGAGTATGGATTCCTGCAGTCACGAAAGCTTCAAATCTAGATTGGTTCTCGAACCTTGTTGGGCTCCTGCTGTACCGGCCTTGTTGAATTTTAGTTTCAACCGCGGACCCCCTGGCTTGCCTGACCCAACGTGGTTCAGAGACATAAATGTATGAATAATGAACGTCGATATTTGAACAAGTTGTCCATTTTGGGAGGTATCCCAACGAGCCAGTTAACTGCGAGCGAATAATCAACGGACGCTCTGCGCACGTGACATAATTTGTTGGCGCTCACTGGTTACTCTTGGAAACCACATTGTTTACGATCAATGAGTTTAGAAAAGTGTTTTATATCGTCCTAGGTTACCACATGGATTTACATTTTTACGTAGTAATTTTATATTGGCAGGTTCAAACATGATTATTCACCAGTGACTCTCATGTCCGATATAATTTCACACGTTTATAAGGCACCTAACGCTACCGACCGGGACATTGCCACGTAGCCCCAAGGGGTCCCGCGTAACCCCCGCGGTTGAGAATCCATGCAGTCGAGCTACTCAGGTGTGCCAGGGCAAGGCAACGCTTCTCCACCACGGCTGCAAATATCGAGCGGGTGGCTCCTTTGAGCCATCGCGAACGGGGAACAGCTGACAAATGCCAGCGCCTAGAGACGCTTACAGGGTGAGCGGCAGGGGTTGGATACCGACAGACGGGGCAGATTAGGGGATTAAACCTGGGCCGTTTGCACTCTGTGCACTAGACGCTAATCTACATGTGGCACAATCGAGGAGTGTTCTTTTACGAGGTGAAAACCCGTTTGGGGTCGTCCATAAATGACGTCACGCACCTAGGGGGTGGGGGGGGGGGTCAGATACTTGTGACGATGTGTGACGAGGGGGGTTGAGAAATGTGACGTCACATCAAAATGCGCAATTTTAAATAAATATAGACAACACGTTCTACTTAATTAGACTTTTTAATAAATGTTTTCTCCTACAACATCGGAGTGCAGCGCCACATTAAATACGCACTACAATGACAATAGTTTCAAGCGATTTGAAGCATGTTTTATTTTTGGGGGGGGGGGGGGGCAGAGCTTTGTGACGTCATATTTAAGGGGGGGTCTGACTTTTTGTGACGCCGTGTGACGACGGGGGGGGGGGGGGTCAAAAATCGTCCAAAATCGCGTGACGTCATTTATGGACGGCCCCTTTTGCTCAGGGTGAACAACTCAAGTCGGAAATGTTCATAAAAACGACAACAGTAAAAGTTGAAATTATATAGAGATTGTTTTGACGTTGATCTTGGAGTGCTGACATTTGTGATTATAATACGGATGCTCTGCGTGACGTAGTAATTGTAACAATACAAATATAATTATTTGTATCTAATATAGTGCCTGTGTAAGCTGGTGGACTTCTCACCGTCTTTGTTCGATGGCTAAGCCAAAAACCGCTGCTGCGAGGATGACCGGAGTTCGAATGATGGTTTCTGCTCCTTGACGAGCACAGCAAGGTTTTGTGGTTCATTTGTGGCAAGGGCTTTGTGTGCAATGAGTGCGACATTATAATTTGGGCTGAAAAACGGGCACTGGTCTGCCAGTTAGGCGTCTATGATTGTGTGTGTGTGTGTAAATCCCCATTGAGCCATTCGTGCAACTCACTTGTAGCAGTCATTGTGGAAGCGGTTGTAGCTGCCCAGGGCTGCCAGGGCTCCCAACCCAACGGCGTAGGAGAAGAAGATCTGAGTCCCCGCGTCGATCCACACCTGCAGACGGACAGGCCTCGTTACCAAGCTGCAACGTGAACAAAATTCCCTGGCACGTGTCGCGACGGGTACCGCAAGATCCGGCCGTGTCCGTCGGGTGCTCGCTGAGCTGCATTGGCTTCCCGGTTGCCGAACTAATTCGTTGTAAGGTCGCTCTGATTACACACAAAGTACTTGCCACAAATGAACCACGATACCTTGCTGATCTCGACAAGGAGCACAAACCATCACGCGGACTCGCAGCGGCTTTCGGCTGGCCATCGAACAAAGACGGACATCGAACCGCGCACTTTCAGACGCGCTTCTGCGGCTATCTGGAACGCTCTTCCTTCCGATTTTAGGAAGCCACTGGAGCTGTGCCGCACCTTCGATTCGCACGGTTGACTATGCACGGTGCGTAAGTTCAACACGCACACACACACACACAAATGCCTCCTCATTGTTTTCTGCCTTATTCATTTGTTTTTACCTCCACTCACATTCCAATTGTGCTATAGGCACAGTGCAACGGGACGAAGCTATTTCGATTCAGAAATATTATCCGAGATAGAGTCGATCAGGACAGAGCGACTGATGTTTATTGCTATTGATGACCGAGAAACGCCAGAAATCTGAAATTGTATACCAACGTTGTCGACCCTATGCATCTAACAATATAGATTTTAAACACTTTTGTTTTGTGGGGGGGGGGGGGGGGGGGCTCAGATTGATTGGTTTATTCATAGGGCAGGACCAGCTTAAATGTCTTTAAAAAAACATTCTTGGTATTATAATATTAACGTGTAACGTGCCACACAGCATTCGCTCACTCGCGTGGAGAGAGAACGACTCAGAGGTGCGGGGAGGAATCGCAGGCGAGCGGGGAAGGCAGCAGTCACGCGGTGCTGCCGGAAATTGCCAAAGCTCTGTGGTCCTCTATATATTAAGGTTGCTATCAGCCAATTAATTAGTGTTTCCATGTGGGAGGAAACCGAAGCACCTGGAGAAAACCCGTGCACACAAGAAGGGAAACATTACATGCAGTACCGTACATACGGAACAGGCGGGGGTCCACATTTTTGCTGTAATGCCAACTGCTGGCGTGCCAGGGTGTGATGCCTCAGTGAAGCCCACGGGGATGGAGTTTCACAACATTCGTGCGATTCACCAACCCTCGCCTCGACAGTGATGGCTTAGAGGAGTGCGCCACCACCGGCCCGGCTGTGCGTTCCCACTTTCATTCCAATTGTGCTCCCGGTATCACGTCATGAGATTAAAGATCCATTCACAAATCTCAAAGAGCGGTCTCTGCTTCACACGTCAGAGAATGGCCGCGGAAGACGGTTGTGGCAGCACACCTCCACAAAAAGACATCCCCCGTGGGGAGAAATGTTTTCGCTTGAGAGACCAGGGTTAAAAATTCCAGCACGAATTTAAGATTCAGTCTCGATCGTGTGTATGTGTGTGTTTTTTTGTTTGGTTTCGTCTCATCTCGCTCCCTATGGGCCACCAAGTGCAGCTCGGTTTCGCGTCACGAGACGAATGCAATTTCAGCCGACCTCCCCCGCACCGGGGGCCAACGTGACCACGGCCCTCTCCGTGGACGCGCCCAGCGACGGATCGTGCCGCGCCTCCTGAGCGGACGGTGGAGTTGGGGGCCCTCGGCTCCCGCGCTGATGATAAAGTGGCTGTCGCTTGGCTCAGCAAGACGAGCGTACGATGATGAATACGTTGATCAAAATTGTGGTGAATTACCACATTTCCAAAATGATCAATCTTTATCCACCTTATTTGTTGGTTCATAGTTTCCTGGCATCGCAAATTCAATGACAGCACGGCGCTTGAGTTTGAGATTTTTAGCACCCAAGAAGCGCAACAATTTAGGATATTGCGTCCTTGCAGTTTGAACCTTATGAGCATGGACTTTAAGTAGCTGCAATATCGGTGGTCTTTGGTTTTTACATCTATATCAGGATCAGCACATTGTCCACCATCCTTGCAACCCGGGCTTCATTTCTCTCTCGATATGATCCTCGGCTGGTTGGAGTCGGGATTATCGATTCAAGGCACTACCACTAGAATACATGGTACATGGCCCATCATAATCCTGTTTTGTTGCATTTTCCCAAGTAGTGTCCTTTTCAATCTCGATTGACCTTCTCATTTCTCGAGAGCTGCTCTTTGTGTTTTAGTTTGTTGCCCTTCCCCCGCACCTCCGATTAGCACGGTTGGCTACGTACGGTGCGAAAGAAGTTCGACGGACATAGATACTTTACTTAAGGACACTTGGTGACTTATTAAGCGCTATTTGCGCACGAGTGTTGCACGCCAACGCGTATGCGCACTTCCGCGGCGCTGTATAGTGAGGGCAACATAAGGGGAGAGACACATGTTGTTCCATAATCAGTCCTGGAGCAATGTTCCTCAATGTTCCGGCTGAAATTAAACATTGCTCACGTGTTTTAATTATTTTTAACGTGAAGTGGTTTGAGGGATTTAACTCTATCCGACAACTCTATCCGATGTATTCTTGTATCTGATTCCAGCGAGAGACTGACAATCTCGCTGCCCCATAGTCATTGGCACAACTCTCCAACTGAGATAGAAAATGTCAACATTTTTTTAAATTTTTACCTCACCGAGTCAGATTTCTTTGGGACTTAGTTGGACTCAGTCTGGGTGGGGGTTTCTCGCTTTGGGGAGGCAGGGTGTCCGGTTTGTCGAAAGTTTTAGAGGGGACCAAGACAGTGACGGATCCAAGGGGCGTGCGATTGCTCCCACAATCCCCCTCTTGAGACCTGGAAATTGGTATTTTATTTATATTTATGACTGAAAATACACCGACATTTGTTTTTCTCCAATATATAACCTAATTTTAAAAGTCTTTAAATATCAGACGTTTACAGACATGCCTCTGCACCGAGAAATGAACCATACAACCAGAAAGCCGCTTACAATTATGAGTAGATTAATTGATTTGAACCGACTGATCGCCCCAAACTCTAATGAAAACTCCAAATCTCTTGTTATTTGTTTTAATAACCGAGGGATGCTACCCTGGTGCAATGGTTAGAACATCGCACGGTGCGCTCTGTCGGCACGGCCGTTGTAAAGGAGAGCCGACACGAGGTACGCAGAGGGTTCGTCCTTTATTTATTCCCCCAGTCCACACGTCCCCCCAGTCTTCTCCGTCCGTTCCACCGCCAGCTCTCCCTCCTTGCTCCCCTCAGCCCCCCCCTCTCCTGCTCCTCACGCCTTCCCACTATTCCCGCTCCACTGCCCACCTCTCATTTTGGTGCGAATCCTTTACCCCTTAACATCCATCAAAAAACGGTGCAGGTTTCTTTTTCAATCGCCTCGCCATCTCTATCCCCCCCGCCCCGCCCTGCCCCGCCATCCACCCGGCGGTTAAAACGAATACCACCGCAGTTAGTCGACTGTCGGGTGGTGAGTGGTTATAGTGTGGATACTGCCACCTCCTCCAACACGTCCGCACGGCCGAAAGTGAAAGAGTAGGCCAAAGGGATCGTCGAGAAAGCCTTCCCAGGGGGGGGGGGGGAGGGACAGCATTCCGTTTGGGAGAGCAAGCAATTGCAGGGATGCCCACTTAACTTTTTGATAACTGAAAAAAAAAACGTTGTGAAGCACTGTTTTTTTTTAAGTATTAAAACAAATAATAGGATGTTACCCTTTCTTGCAATAAAACAGGTGTTAAGATGTTCAAACACCAAATAAATACTTTGTACAAGGTAAAATCAGAAAGGGTAAAACCTATTCTTATTTTTTCATACTTTGATACTGGCAAAAAAGGTCCCATGATAAACCTTTTTAAGTTATAATAAAGTTAAATTTCGATTTGAAGCTTTCGTGACTGCAATGATTCATCTTCTTTGGTTATTTCGGTAAAGTCACGTAGAATGAGAATAAAATAATAAAATAACACAATAAAATTCTCACGACGTTTCGGCCACAACGCAAGTGGCCGTTGTGGCCGAAACGTCGTGAGAATTTTATTGTTATTTTATTTGATTATTTTATTCTCATTCTATATAATAAAGTTTTTTTTCGGTTCTATCGTCTAAATACAAATGTGTCGTTAAACCTGGCACCACCCGACACAGCCAATTAGTAAGGTTTGTCACGTAAACAGAACGTGCCAATTAGTTACTAGTTCAGCACACCGGTGTGTTGGAGAGTAAACCCACAACATTTACAATCCGAGTACGACGTTCGCCGGTGGTTACAACCAGCTTCGTGAGGCGATAGTCAGAATTGTGGAGGCTACCCTGACCCGACCCAGCCAAGGCGCGGGTCTAGACTCTGGCTTCCTCTGACCTCGCCCTTACAAGGGCGCACGGCCAGGAGTCCCAGAGTCCCACCACTGGCTCAGAGTCCCACCACCGGCCCAGAGTCCCACCACCGGCCCAGAGTCCCACCACCGGCCCAGAGTCCCACCACCGGCCCAGAGTCCCATCACTGGCCCAGAGTCCCATCACTGGCCCAGAGTCCCACCACTGGCCCAGAGTCCCACCACTGGCCCAGAGTCCCACCACCGGCCCAGAGTCCTACCATTGGCCCAGAGTCCCACCACCGACCCAGAGTCCCACCACTGGCCCAGAGTCCCACCACTGGCCCAGAGTCCCACCACTGGTCCAGAGTCTCACCACTGGCCCAGAGTCCCACCACTAGCCTAGAGTCCCACCACCGGCCAAGAGTCTCATCACTGGCCCAGAGTCCCACCACTAGCCCAGAGTCCCACCACTGGCCCAGAGTCCCACCACTGGCCCAGAGTCTCACCACTGGCCCAGAGTCTCACCACTGGCCCAGAGTCCCACCACTGGCCCAGAGTCCCACCACTGGCCCAGAGTCCCACCACTGGCCCAGAGTCCCACCACTGGCCCAGAGTCCCACCACTGGCTCAGAGTCCCACCACTGGCCCAGAGTCCCACCACTGGCCCAGAGTCCCACCACTGGCTCAGAGTCCCACCACTGGCCCAGAGTCCCACCACTGGCCCAGAGTCCCACCACTGGCCCAGAGTCCCACCACTGGCTCAGAGTCCCACCACTGGCCCAGAGTCCCACCACTGGCTCAGAGTCCCACCACTGGCCCAGAGTCCCACCACTGGCCCAGAGTCCCACCACTGGCTCAGAGTCCCACCACTGGCCCAGAGTCCCACCACTGGCCCAGAGTCCCACCACTGGCCCAGAGTCCCACCACTGGCTCAGAGTCCCACCACCGGCCCAGAGTCCCACCACTGGCCCAGAGTCCCACCACTGGCTCAGAGTCCCACCACTGGCCCAGAGTCCCACCACTGGCCCAGAGTCCTACCACCGGCCCGCACAGCATCCCGGCCCTTACAAGGACAGCGGGGCGAGGGGGTCCAGGGTCCTATCTATCTAGCTGCTGGTCTTCGTTCTTCGGCTGTGACTGCTCCAGATCGGCTGAGGAGGTCCCCTTTTATGCCCCTTGCCCATTGAGGGGTGGGGCTGAGGGATCCTGAGCCCCCAGCAGCCCCCCCCCCCCGTTGGGGGCGCCAAGGGGCTTAGCTGTCTGGGGATCCTAAGCCCCCAGCAGCCCCTCCCCTGATGGTACGAGGTAACGTTCCACCTATGGTGCTACACTACCCAGGCACTAAATTGTTTTTTGTTTGTTTGTTACACAGTGTAATTATTGTCGCCTGTATCTTGATGGACGATAGGGAAATGCGAAGAGGCGAGGTACCTGTGGCTCTGAGAGCTTCTGCCAGTCGGGCTTCAGGTAGAAGATGATCCCCTCGTAGGCGCCGGGGAGAGTGATGCCGCGAACAAAGAGAATCATCATGACGACGTAGGGGAACGTCGCGGTGAAGTACACCACCTTGCGCAGAAACACCGCCAGGTGCCGTCAGTGCCATCGCGATCTCCGCATTGTAAAACAAAAGAGACGCGGCCACTAGTAGCGCAACCGTGGCTAGGAGATGTTAACTACCTCGCATGGTATACAGGAGGTTGTGGGCTCCGTCCCGACCCTGACGCCTGCTGCTGTATATTTGGAGTTTGGGTGTCTTCCCCGTGGTCGTGTGGATTTTGCCTCCGGGACCTCCGGTTTTTCCCCTCTACATTTAGAATAATGCGTTATAGAATATTTGGCTGCTATACATTTTCCACGTGATAAGCCACTTCGTTGAGCTATCATTTGTGATCAGGTCGCTTCTGAAAAAGAGCTATATGTAGCTCAGTGGGCCTTACCTGGTAAACTTCAATAAAAATAAAACTGCTCTGGGATAAATTTTGATTTAAAGCTTTCGTGACTGCAGTAATTCATATTCTTAGTTCTTTCGGTAAAGTCACGTTGAAGGGAAACAATAAAAGAATAAAATATATATAAAACAATAAAAATTCTCACGACGTTTCGACCATAACACAAACGGTCGTCATCAGGTGTGTCAGTTTGCAAAAGTTTATTTATTTTTAAACGGTGTATTTATTTATTTACACATTACATAAAATCCGTGATCTGGTTCCGTCTGTAAAATATGTGATTCCGGACATACAATACCCTGGTGTCTACAAACTAAGTTGCCTCTGTGGTAGTAGTTACATTGGAGAAACCAAACGCCATGTCTCGGACCGCATTCGTGAACACAAAGCAGACCTTAAACACGGTAGGACAAACACCTCGGCCATGGCAGATCATTGTTATAATTCAGTAGGCTCACATGACATTGACTTTTCGAAGACAGAGGTTATTTGTAAGCCATCTGGCTACCATGAGAGATTCGTTCATGAGGCTATCCACATATACAAGCACAGAGACAATTTAAACCGAGAAGATGGATTCTGGCTTAGCAATCATTGGAAAGATTTGATAAACCATTTCAGGTCTTAATTGATTGTTCACGCTTACAGTGGCTTTCAGACAGCATACATTAAAACATTTTCGTCTCCCCCCTCCTCTTTTCAGAACATAGATGGACTAGTCTTTCTAAATAAACTGCCAAATCGCTGCGCGTGGCGCTAACGTTTTTTTTGTAAATAAATAAATACACCGTTTAAAAATAAATACATTTATGCAAACCTACACACCTGATGACGACCGTTTGTGTTATGGTCGAAACGTTGTGAGAATTTTTATTGTTTTATATATATTTTATTATTTTATTGTTTCCCTTCAACGTGACTTTACCGAAAGAACTAAGAATATGCTCTGGGATACTCTCAATGTCCTTTCTCAGAGACGCTGGCGATCATGGCCTTAATTCCAATTCGCTCTGTTTGTGATATTTGCTTAAGAACATTGCATCAGATCCCACTCCCGGTTACTACCAATTGTTCAATTTGCATACGCAACTTAATTCGCTGTCTTCGCCCAGCTTCTCGTGGTGCCCCCTATAATTATCGGAGCTCTCGAAATGGTATCGGGCATTGTCATAGGCCAAACCTAAAACTTTTAAATTGTCAACAACTGCATTGTAAATGAATGTAATAAACTGGTCCAATGTGTCTGCGATTTCGCATGACCTTCTTGCATAATATATTGCTCTTAATGGGATCTCACCTGGGCAAATCGATCGACATTATGTTCAATTTGGTGATCCCATTTATCCAGTTTCCCGGCTATTTTACAAGGGGGATACGTGGTGCGTGAACACAGCAACAACAAAACATAGCCAAAACATCAATATTGCAGAGAACGAGTAGAGTACAGAGTCCTAAAGGAATCTTGCTTATAGTATTTAGATGCTATGCATACAAGTATTTGTTTCCATTATACTGTACATATTTAAAATAAATACAATTAATTTAAAGAAGACTCCGGGACCGGCCCAGGGCACGCTGGTGGGACTATGTCGCTGGGCTGGCCTGGGAACGCCTGGAAAATCCCCAGGAAGAGCTAAAGTCTGTGTATAGTAGTGTATAGTGTAGTAGTGTGTAGTAGTGTATAGTAGTGTAGTCGTGCATAGAATAGTGTATAGGAGTGTAGATCTAGGAGTCTGTCGCCAGGGAACGGCGACAGACTCTGGAGTTCTGGACCGCCACGACTCAACACGCTGCCGCCACGACCCTCACCAGGACAAGCGGATTCAGAAACGAACAAACGATTCCAGCCATTCAGCTAATGGATGATGGCTCTCTTCCACGCTTTGTTGATCATAGGTTTTTTTTAACAACCATACGTCACCACGCTAGACATTGCAGGCTGTTTGAATGATGTTAGCCGTGGTTGGGAATCGAACTTGGGATGCTGGGTTAATAGTGCAGTGGACGAAATCAATACACCACTACTCCACCACACACATTTGAATACAATAAAGTATTTTACCATCATTACCCATGGTCAATCCACGGCTAAGTGGAGGTCTCTCCAATCTACAGCCTGCAATAGTAATCCATAAAGCACTAGCACGAACTGCTTTGTACAATTAGCAAAAAATCCCATTACTACAGCGTAGCATCTTCTGTGTAAGCAAATCACAAGTTTTATCATTTAATTTCTCAAAAGTGCCAGCCTCCACTTATCCCTTCAGGCACTAGGAGGAATTTTCCACTGCAGACAAAAAAAATGCCGCAGAGCCCACCCCGAAATTACGGAGAGCCGCAGCTGCCTCCTTCCTCTTCCAACCGAGGATGAATTTCGGGACTACCCCACCCCGCGAGCCTCCACCACCACCTCCACCCCCACCACCTCCACCACCTCCACCCCCACCACCTCCACCACCACCACCTCCACCCCCACCACCCCCACCACCAACGCACGCGTGACGCAAATGTGCGCGTGGCTGGCGCGCCAACGCACGCACGCGCACGCGCCAACTCCCTCCCCCTCCTCGTCTCGTGCCGCGTGCGTTCCGTACGGACCCCCCCCCCCTCCTGCTGTGAGAGCCGAGTCTCCCTCCCATCCCTCCCGGGGGGGGGGGGCACCGTAGAGGTTCTGCGTGCAAAGTCAATCGAATCGAATCAAAATCAAATCGTGTCCTCTCCCCCTCGCAATGGTTTTCGGCGCGTTCAATCGCGTACCCCGATATCAGTTGAGCAAAGCATTCGCCGAGGAACGCGTGTGAGTTTATTTACGCTCGACAGTATTTGTTTTTATTTTTACAATTGACGGACGAAAATCGTTGAGCGGCCACGAGGTAAGCCTGCCACTCGTCGCCGATGGATGAGCCGGTGAGGCTCCGTCTGATTTGTGACGAGACGAGACGAGAACGAACGGGTCTCAACAAAGACTGATGCAGGCTGAGGTCATTTAGTGGCGTTATTGAAGAATGCGGTTCACTGAAGAACCTCCCCCCCCCCCAATGGTAATTTCATATACAGTATATATATACCTACATTATTTAAAAGTATTACTGAGTTAACTAATTAGTCAAACTGATAATATTGTGGGAGGGAATGACGAATTGTGCCCCTCTCACACATAATAAATTAACACCGCGTGACCATGGGTCGGCACTTAACTCTGAGCGATTGGCTCTGAGCCGATGGTGGGGAAATTCCACCTTACCATGACGGGGGGGGGGGATCACATACAGAGGTCAATGGGCCGCGTCGTTGCTGAGCACAGGTCCAAAACGTAAAACGGCCAGGAACAAACAGCGCTATCAAAATTGTAATAGATACGAGTGCAACTCGTTTCTTGAATTGAGAAAGGTGATTTAGTGTTAAGAACTTGGGATAAGAGATGATGGGAATGAATTATAAAGTCGAGCAGTGCAAAAGAAGATGATAAAAAATATATAAAAATTTAACTAGTTTTGTTCTTTTTTATTTAAAGCTTTCGTGACTGCAGGGATTCATATTCTTGGTTCTTTCGGTAAAGTCACGTAGAAGGGAAACAATAACATAAGAAAAATATAAAACAAAATTCTCACGACGTTCCGACTGCAACACAAGCAATCATTATCAGGTGTGAAAACCACAGCAATAATTTTTTATTCTTATTTTATTGTTTCCCTTCTACGTGACTTTACCTAAAGAACCAAGAATATAGTTTCGTTCTACCAGGTAAGGCCCACTGAGCTGATAGCTCTTTTACAAAAGCGACCTGGCTCTCACACACGATTGCTCAACGAAGTAGTTTATCACGTGGTAATTTAAAGCAGTCAAATACTCTAAACGCGTGACGTTGATTTGAAAAAGTGGAGGGAAAAAAACCGGAGGACCCGGAGAAGAATCCACGCGACCACGGCGAGGAGAGAAGTGCAAACTCCAAATGTAAAGGCGTTAGGGACGAGATCGAACCCACGACCTCCTGTATACCAGGCGAGGTAGTTAACATCTCCTAGCCACCACGGCGGTTGCGGTGTGGTGGTTGAACGCAATATTGGATGAGGAATCGAGGTACTGTACTGGGATGATGACATTGAGGGGATGTCTCAATCCAGCGGTTGATAGATCATGTCTGATGGTGATGCTGAAGGGATACGGGGCTTGCGAGTTAACCTTTGGATTTAAAATTCCAACCTTGTGATTGGGAGATGAGTATTCTAGTAGCAGCACCGCCTTGCCAGATATAGAGTTATATTCTTAGCTCTTTCGGTAAAGTCACGTTGAAGGGAAACAATAAAATGATAAAATATATATAAAACAATAAAAATTCTCACGACGTTTCGACCATAACACAAACGGTCGTCATCAGGTGATGGTCGTCATCAGGTGATGACGGCCGTTTGTGTTATGGTCGAAACGTCGTGAGAATTTTTATTGTTTTATATATATTCTATCATTTTATTGTTTCCCTTCAACGTGACTTTACCGAAAGAGCTAAGAATATGAATTACTGCAGTCACGAAAGCTTTAAATCAAAAGATATAGAGTTGTAGAGTAAGAATACAATCAATACGCGGTGCATTTAACTATGAGTCCTCTCAAAGTGTT